CCCAGGCTGAGATCTTCCTTCACCTCTCCTGTATCTCCCCCTCCTGCAGAGAGTTCCTGAAGAGCGGAAAGCTCCTGCAAGATGTAACAGCCTCCCTGTAACCCCGGCAGCACACCAACCAGTACCCAAGCCCCCAAGACCCAGCCAGGGCCCCAACCCAGAGACGGAGTGCCCAAGAACCTCATGCCCATCCCGAACCCACCCAGGGGCAGCCAGGCTACCAGGTCAGTAACCCACGTCCATCAGCACAGACCCTCCCCTAGCCCCGCTGCACGCAGCCGCAAGGAGACCGTCACCTAAGAGCCAACAGAGCCCTTAATAGGCCATGACCGCTACCCTGGGTTGAGCCTTCCAAGGAAGATGCTCCTGGGGAATCCCCCGATGCCCTAAGCCTGTCCCTCTCTGCCATTCCACCACTCCAGCAGACCATAGCATAGAAAATAGCAGACACCACCACAGTGTCGTAAAACGTCCTTCGGAGAGTCCTGTTCACCCCGAAAGATCTCAGCCGCCGTAGCAGGTGGAGACAGCTTAGACCCTTTTTGCAGAATGCATTTGTATTTGTGGACCAGTCCAGTTTGTTATAGAGGTGAACATCCAGGTATTTGTTGTACTCCACTGTTTCAATGTCCAAACCCTGGATGTTCACTGGTGTGATAGTACTAGTAAGCCTAGTACTAGTAAACCTGAGATAGTAATTTCTGTAGGATGAGTCATTTTACTCTCTGTGACAGTGCGTAGCCCACCGCAACAAGCGGCTGTGCCTCCACTAAAGGAAAATCAACCCCTTTTAAAATCCATCCATCCATTCGCTTATCCTTTTCAGGGTCGCGGGGGGGGGGCGCTGGAGCCTATCCCAGCTGTCATAGGGCGAGAGGCAGGGTACACCCTGGACAGGTTGCCAGTCTGTCGCAAGGCCAACACACAGGGACAGACAACCATTCGCACTCACATTCATTCGAACATTCACACCTAGTGACAATTTGGATTATCCAATTAACCTATCCCCACAAGCTGCATGTCTTTGGACGGTGGGAGGAAGCCGGAGTACCCGGAGGGAACCCACGCAAACACGGGGAGAACATGCAAACTCCACACAGAAAGTGTTGGAATTGAACTCAGGACCTTCTTGCTGTGCGGCAACAGTGCTAACCACCGTGCCACCATGCTTTTAAAAGCACGATTAAAATATAACAAACAATTAAGAGTAAAAAAAAAAAAGACCATAAAACAAGGAACAATGCCAGTCCATAAATGATTGAAAAGCAACAACAAGGCTACAACAAGATAGTGCAGTGTGTAGGCCTGTAACACAAGAGGGAAAATAGTCATCCAGCGTCCACCCTACTATACACCAAATTGTAGATAATACATGAGGATCCTACTTACCACCCCCTAACAGATATACATAGTAAGCGATTGCCAGGGGAAATGAATTCAGTCTGCAATACTTAACAGCCTGTGATCTTTGCCACCTTGAACAGGGATGAGTGAAAGTTGCCAGAGCCCAAGAGTGGACCACAGCTGTTCCTTATTTTATCATTATGTCAATAAAGCACAAGGTTCAGTTAGCTTTGCACAAAAATAGAAACGTCCTCTAAAGAGCTACTTTTTGAGTACATTTCAGAGCTGTACTTTTGTACTTTTACTTGAGTAAAGAAGTTGAACCAGTACTACAACTTTTACTAGAGTATTTTTTAACAGTGGTATTTTTTTTTTTACCTTAATTCAAGTACAGAACATCTATTCTTTTGCCAACTGCGGTTTAGCTAATAGATTAAATAGATCATTCATTTGCTCTACATTGGAGATGCAGTTTATTTTGTGTTTTGTACATTTTGTTTCTGAATAATGTGAAAATTCTTAATTTTGTGTCACACCACTGGCAGGAGGTCCTCTTGTAGCTGCAGAGAACCAGTGTTTTTGCAGTAACTACAGAGGGCGACTTTTTTCATTTTTTGGATGTTTTCCCTATTAAGAAGCTGAAAGCCCAAAGTGGGCATGACTGGGAACCCTGGTGATGGGACCTTCTGTGTGCGGTGGTTATCCATGTACGCCTGGTTTGACTGCACCTTAGTGAAAGTGTGTAGAGGTGAGACGCTCTGAACCACGTGTGTCTGAAGTATAACGGACCCGAGTGCCTCCTTGGTAATCATTGTAGTTTTGAACTAGATATCGATGAAATTCCCAGGATGGCAAAGTTGGGTTTTCCTTGTAAAGCTTTTGAGCTTGCAGTCACACCACCATCCTAGTATGTGTGCATCGTGCTTTTCCCCCCCTCACCATCGCCACTCATGCACAGTAGCCTGTTAAAAAGAATTATGGGAATCATAAGAGAACAGATGATTACTTTTTGATCTAGACTTATTTAGGTGAGAGGAGTCTGAGCCCAAAGCCTGACTCACTGCCATTATTTCACCGTGGACTTTTGGAGATAAGCATCAACTCTCCCCTGAACATTTTTACACTTGGAAAACAAAAACTGTCACATCTGTAGACCAATCGCTTTAAATATTCATGAATTTAAAAGTAGGCGGTTTAAATTTTTCAGTTTCCAGCCTGACACAGAAGCCTGTTCGTGTTCGTAGAGCTGTGTACACACATATTTGACTTTGTAAACCACTTTGATCTACATAAGATTACACTGTGACTGTATTGTTTAATCAATAATACTGAGTTTGTTTACTGGACCATTTATGCCTCAGTTATACCAAAATAATTAAGCATTCAACTTATCACAACTGTATAATAAATAAACTACATACTAGAATATCACAACCAGTGACTGTAGAAAACATTGATCACAGCAGATTAGCACCACTTTGTTTTAGCTCTCAAGTAACGCCTCACCTATTTCATACAGGGTGCTCTGAGCACATAATCTACATGTTGTGTTTATGCAACTGCACTAGTGGAGTGTGCGCTGTTGGTCACCGTGTGTGGACATCATCTATGTATTGCACCTTGTCCAGTGACCTAGGACATAACACAAAAGCACACAGGCACTTCAAAGGGTTTGAAACGTAACATCGCAACAGAGAGAAACTTCACGAATTCTCACTTATTAAGTTTGTGTGTTTACATCTTCAGTTTTA